GGTGCATAAAAGTGCATCATGAAGAGGCTATTCCACCAATTTTCACAACCCTCGATGTGCGACCTACTCTTCTAAAATCACAAATGCGACCCCACCGTTCGGATAGCGCGAATGGACGGTTGGACCTGATTACTCTAACCCGCCAAGAGGTGCAGCTGTGAGGGGAAAAATTCAGAGAAAAAACCTAGAACTCGCGAAATCATTATTTCTCCGTGGATTTCCGCATTGGAACCCTTCTCACCGGTGCTGGCGTCATTAATGTGAACGCTTTGTCCTACCGCTCTACAAAAACGACCATTGTTTACTGGCGAGAGGGTAGCCAGTCGTTGAGCGTGGACTGCGCAGAGAGGCTTCACTGGTGGGCTAGGCCATATTAAGCCGCTTCGGAGCACTTTCGCAGCAAAACGCTTATGGTCGCGTTCCATCATAGAGCCTAGTTCCTTTAATCGTGAATAATCCCCATATTTGACCTCCAGTTTATCTCAATGCATCGATCTCCAAGAAGAATTATCTCACCCTTACCTCCAATAAAACGCGTTTCCAAGAGTGTCGTCTTGCCAACTCGGCCAGGAACTGTTCCACGCTCCACGGAACTTCAAGTTGAATCCAGCATCCAAATAGCAGTCCTACAATATTTTAGTGGTCCCATGCAGAACACATTTTCAAGACACGTTTTTACTCACTTGAGCGCACAGAATCGAGTAAAAACAGCCTTTAAGAGCCAAATAATACGCAAGCGAAGGCAGCCTAAAAAAGACCTTCAATCGAAGAAGATTCAGAATTGATACTTATCAGGGCTGACCTGGTAGATCCACTTCAGCGTCTTCGCTGGCTTGATGAACGACTCCTTTCTGATAACTTCGTGAAGGGAAAGAGCATCATGAGCCTCATAGCGAAGGATCACGGGATCACGAAGGGAGTAGAAGGCGAAATCGAGTAAGGGAACAAGGTTCCTTAATCCATGAATTGCAAACTGAACAATACCATGAATCCCACTACAGACCTGTGTTTTAGCAATATGAGCTGCTCCAATTCTTTGTCAATTCCATGATGCACGATTTCCTTCTTCAACGCCACCACCACGGATTTCAGCTTCAATTCAGGCAAAGGCAATACAGTTCTAAGGGCGACCCGAGATTTCTCTTCTACAAAGCTGTGGGCGCCGAATCGTCCGAAGCCTGTAGACACTCTTAATTACAACTGCGCTCACTGATCGTAGTGCTGCACGAAGCAGGGTCAACCGTCACGTTGTGCTGTGATCTCAAGAATCCCTTATTCTCCCCCAAGGCATCTCCGTGCCAAATTACCCCTTCTCATGGGTCGGTGGTGTCATCAGTTTTGCTGAATCTGCCATCGATGGACACTCAGCTCTGCTACTCCACCCTAAAACTGACATCGAGTGGATGGGCGACCTTGTTGGGAAAATCCCGCAGACGGTTGACCCTGGTACGTAGGCCGCAACTACAAGTGAAAAGCTTACTCTCATGGCGGTAAATAGCTGTTCCAAGCCGGATGGTCTCATCGCCGCAAGTAATGAATTTTAGTTGAAAGGTCAACTCGCTAAGCGATTCGAAACGCATCGCGCCCACTCTGAACCGAGCTCCATCGTCAGTCTGAATGGAAGCGATCTAATACAATCGAGTGAGCGCCATTTGGCCTTTTGCTAATAGCCCGAAAAGTATTTCGCTGCGACTCTTAAAGCAACAGTCCCAGCAGGGTGGGCGTGGTCGGAAACGACTGCAATCCCCTCGGCCGATTCCGACCACGCCCACTTCAGCTCCCTCCCTAGCGGCTTTCCAAGGTGAGTTTTTGTTCAGTCACACTTCTTACGTTCTTGACTAGGGGCTGAACAGCTCCGAAGTGGGAATCGGCCGAGGGGATTGCAGCCGTTTCCGACCACGCCCACCCTGCTGGGACTGTTGCTTTAAGAAAAGCAAAGAAACGTTATTTGAAAAGAAATCTAAACTGACGTATTCAATCGTGATCAGGAAGTCGCGAACACCATCTTTGAAAACGGAGAGAATCACAGAGTCCTCATTCTCGCTGTCCTAAATCAAATTCCATGTGCATATCTGTGCTGTCGCTTACTCAACGACCCCACGGCACTCCTTCATTCCCAGAAAAGTCCGTGCCAATTTACTCGGGTTTCCTGCCACTCTAGCCCCAAGAAAGAACTTAGACAGAAAAGATGGAAAGAGAAGGTAAAGCGGCAAACGTTCTCAAAGCCAATTTGAAGGTAGGAAGTGCAACAAGTTGTGTGCTGTCCTGTAAAGAGAGGCCCTTAAGAGCAAGGTGTGGCGCCATCGTGACAAAGGGGGCCTAAAGCGGCCTTGCAAAACCCTACCCGTGATCACTGCCTCTTTGGGGAGAACACCGCCTGACGGCGGCGGAATGATAAAAGTGGATGCTGGTACTGATCATCAACGTTGGTTTTTTGTTTTATTTTGAGAGAATTTCACTTCAAGCGACCACATCTTCTGTTTGTCATTGCAATGCGTCACTAACCTACTACAAAAACCGAAGCCCAATCCTGGCCAGTGCCGCGTGCCCTGCTCCGGCCCGCCTCCTTCGCCGTATTTTGCTCTATTTTGAAAGCGTATTTCACATTGCGAGCCCGTGTCATTTTTCTAGGTTGTGCGCTATGTATGAAGGGGTGACATATGTTGGCATTGCACAGGCTACCGGGATTTGAGGCACGAGTCGGAATCGAATTAGTGCGTTGTCATGTTGAAAAATTAGACAAGATTTTTGAGTGGGGAGAAGAAGCAAAAAGCACTATAGAGCGCTGCGATTTTCCTTGTAAGGTCGGCCGCGGTGTAGGGAGAGGCACAGCGCTGCAAGAAGAGAGATGACGCGAGAGACTATGTCGTACGCGAGGACAGACACCACGTATAGCGAGATTGATAGAGCAGCAAAGCCGGCATCGTAGAAGACCAAGCCACAGCGCCCTTATCGCGCACATTTGAGCGACATTATGCGGCTCCTTGGCTTGGGGATCCCTCTTTTCACTGTGAGAAGTACTACTTCTTGGCCTTAGCAGCACCCATGGTTTCGAGACCCCCTAACGGATCTGTGTTGATCGCTGGCTAGTCCAAAGCCGAAATCGAGGGACACGATACGGTTCTCACTCTGCAGGTTTGAGGCCCTGCGTGTTTTTTGTTCATCACTGCATCGTTTACCACCTCTATTTTCATTTCTAACCCTAACCAGTTTATTGTATTATGCTAGGTTGAGGAAAAAGTCTTCATCGAAGTTTTCAGCCTTTTCTAAGTTTTCTTAGAGGACCAGTACATAGGAAGGGCGCCCATGATGGGGGATGGCAGAACGTTTCCGTAGTTCCACCTCGGCGGTCATATTATACATATAAGTTATAATAGCATCTACTATACGTGCAAGCAGCAATCACTCTAGTTGACTGAAACCATCTTCGAAACACTGTTTTTCACGATTTCCCACAGGAGCCGTATTCCAACACCCGATGCAACATTTGCGCTGTGTTCAGTAAAATCATCCTAGCACAACTCAAACTTTACAGTTAGCATGAGCCACTCTTAGGGGGGAAAACCTGTCGAAAGATAAACCCACAGCAGTTTTGGATCCCCTACTGTAATGAAAAAGGACACTGCGCGTACTCGAGGAATCAAAGCCCAACGCTGGTCTTTGCTATTCATCGATAGCACCCGATCCCTAGCGTTCGTCATAACGGCTCAGGTATACACTTCTCAATTGTGGAAGTAGGGTGACGCTATTCGACAGAAACACCGGAAACGCGAAAAAGTTTGACATCTTTATGACGACACCTGGTCGTATATTTAGAAGCTCTCCAACTAGATGGTTATCGAACTGCGATCAAAGGTGCTAACATGTGCTGCTTATTCGCTGGACCCAACCCATCCGCTCACCCATCGAATTGTGCGCTCGTACACTACCACCGCGACAAAAAATTCAATGTTTATTTGGAATTCGAAATAAGGATCCCCAATTTCTCCCACTAGCAACCGCCACAGTTCCGTATGTTAAGAACCGGTCATCCGCCGGTATCTTGGGCACATTTCTTGTTTCATTATGGTGAACATAGCATGGATTTAGGCCTTATTGCAACAAAAAGGGTATTTGAAATGAAGGTGAAATCCGATAAAGGCCTTCTCCTTGATCTTATACGCATCTGCCTTCAAAGGAGGAATTCACGATAAGAACGAAGGTCAAAGAAGGGAAAATTGCATAGTTGGGGACAGGCGGACCTCCTGAGGGTGCTGACCGACGCGCAATTGGCAGCGAAAGATTTGACCTCGGCGATCTAGCATGGCTCACTCTTGGCGCGGTTGGCGGGGTACGCCCACCGACTATCTAATCACTCGCCGCAGGTCTATACGTGGCGAGTGATTAGATAGCAGAGAGAGCGTAGTGTTGAAGAGGGCACAGCGATGAGAGTCGCATCAATGCGCAAATCAACGGGCAAGGAAGGGGTCCCATTTCTCGGGTTTCGGGCCGTTTCAAATGGTTTCTTCTTCATCCCTGCTCCACTGACCACCTCTACCCTTATTTCCAATGAGCTAACTTTTCATCGAAAATTCTGTCTTAACCTTTTGACGACAATGGCACCCACCGGTGGGTGCCACTATGTTCGCCGCGTGGGACAATGGCACCCAATGGTGGGTGCCACCTTGAAATTTCCTTCTTTGTGCATTTAAAACATTTGTAACACCCCAATAATTATAAGCAAGTTCCATAATATCTATGACTAGCACGACTTACAGAAATGTTTAAGAGCTAATTTATATAGAATTTTAGAATGTGCCATTTAGCTCGCCAGCATATTAATTGGGGTTTTGCATTATTAGGCTGAAGATTAATTACTAATCAGGACTTCTTCGTCTTCTCATAGCCCTCAGATATGGGAAGGGGTTTGAAGTGTATCGAAAATTCTCTTGGACACTTAATTTTAGAGGTTTGCTACTCCTTCCCCTTTCAACCCGAGTTCGCCTTCCAAACTTGGAATACTCTTGGAAACAATACACAGTATGAAAGTTCAGAACATGCAGCTATATCTGGTAGACTGTTAAATCAAAAGTTCTGAACGAAAACTGCTTTGAGAGACAATTTTGCCCCATTGTGAGCGAGAGTAGGGCGCGCCAAAAAGAGGCGTGGCCCCATGGGCCACAGCCAATTCGCAGTCCGCAAAGGTTTAAGGTACGGACGCACCATAGTGTGACTACAATACCGTGGTTTACCCGTTGAACTGACATAAGATGGGATTAACGAGTGTATGGAGCTGTGGGTTAGACTGATCACACATCGACTCTGTATGTTCTGGTTAATTGGGTCTAGGCAGCTACACCACATCCACAAGTTTGTGGACGAGGACCAATCATTATTACAAATAATTCGAAACGCAAACTGATGACGAACCTGGATGAGGAATTCTCCTTCGTTGTGCAGTTTTGCACATAGATGAGTCGTTTCGTGAGCTTGCCATGGTATATCGGCTCGTTCAGCAGGCTTAGTTTCACCAGCTTCGGCTAACGAAGGAGGGAGGGAACATGACTTCTTTTGTGAGCGAATTGTTAAGTGAAAAGTTGTCAAGCTACTACTGAAAATAATTGTAATCTGGAAGAGTTGTGGAGGGCTAAGACTTGCTGGAATCAAAGGATGGACTATTACGCAATGGAGCTTGCATTCATGTGGAACTCATGAAAACATGGAAAACTAACATTCATATCCTTCCTCATATAGATTTCTTTGCCCTTGCTATGTAGAATTTCCAAATATTTCTACTGGCAGAAATATACATCGAAAGCATGGCGGTTCTCTGAGGAGTTGATTTTTCTTTTTAGAGCTCTTTGAGGATTGAGCCCAACTCCAAGAAACTTGAGCGCCGACGGCACATCGTTTTCATCAGTTAGCGTAAAAGATGGATTCGATCATATGACATCAATTGAGAAGAACTGCAGTGGTCATTAAAGTTTCTGTGTACCGTATCGAGCTCTATTCACGGCCTTTTCAAAATAAAAGTTTTTCGGGCACTATTGCACTATTACAACCCAGGGCAGGGCCGAAATGGGTCAAAAGAATAATTTTCGCTGTAAAACTTCTGCATAGGGGTTATTTGGGGCCCTGATCACGAATATGACACTCGTTTTTGACATTCGTGCTGTTTAACGCATATTTTCTGCTTTTCTAAGCTTTCTCACCTATAGCGCCTAAGACTAAGCTTAGGGGAGGGGAGTGAAACTCCGGAGTGGGTAAACACACACCGTGTGGCAACGCTGGAGTGGGAGACCATAACGGAATGGCCTCCACTTGGAGCCTCCCTATTCAAAGGCGCCTAGCTCCTGAGGCCGCCGATAGCGGCCAACAACAAAAAATGAATGACATATTCGTAATCAAGACCCAAAATAACCCCTATACAGAAGTTTACAGCGAATTTACTGGGGATCAGTCGTGGCGCCACCTGGCGCCAAATTGGCACTAGCCTCAAAAATGAATATCATATTCGTGATGAGGACCCTCGAGTAACCCCATAACGTAGGTCGGCGAAATTACTTTTTGACCTATCTCACGCCTACTGGGGTTGTAGTATATGCAATAGTGCTGTTTTTCGTCATGTCGGACTTTGCTAATGATGCGCATGCAAATTCTAGTCCCCTGGCTTCATCCTGTTCCATTTACGTAAACGGACAAATAAGGTAGGTGCGAATTTCGCGAACCGAGCTCGCTCGCGACACTTCGGTTTTCCCAAGCCTTCATTCTTCAATTTTCGACTTCTGTGCTGTTCCGACCAAATCTACAGGTGGGGGAGGGGCCCCCGAGAGGGAGAGACCACCCAAGATAACCGATAATCATCCATATACACATAATCGAAAGTAAATTCATACACTAATTGCACATTAGACTCAAACCCAAACATGACACAACACAACTGCAATGAATCAAAGAAGAACATATTGAATATCTTATATAGAGGACACATTCACCAAGTAGCTTCTAATAACCAACCGATCAAGCAAAGATGTTTTCATCTATGAACCATGGTGCCACGGTTCGATGGCGACAAGGTTACGACACGATTAATGGCCATACACGACAGATATATCGAAATGCTACTGCGAAGGGAGTTTGAACACTCGCAAATTAATGTCTCTAGAAAGCTATGCATCAAGTCCAGCATCGAGTCAAGATTATAGGTGTAGAGGCTGGAGTAATGACAGTGGGGCCTACTTGAACCCGATTGTGAGGCTGAATTGCAGCTATATCCGGAGGACAGAGTACGAGAGAGGAGGGCTGACTCTCTGCATTAGGCCACCATTGGAAGGAGTTGGTCCCTCAGAAATAGACGTACATTCTCAGACAATGCGGATTGGGCGATAAAAAGGGTTAGAGATGTGCCGCCATGAGAAGACTAGTTTCATGCCTTCCTCTACCGGGTAGATTAGAGAGCGACATTGCGAGGATCGATAGACTAGCCTTTTTATCCATTGGTATCTTTCTAGTTGAGTTGCATACGACAAGGTGTTCCGGCGCAGTTTGCTTCCAGAAAAGTCTAATTGGGTGTAAAACTGGACAGCATCAGTTCGATAGGTTCCCTAGGAGTCACGAAAGCCCAGAGGGAAAGCTTCTGGAACGCGGCCGCTATGGTTGGAAGCGCGCTCAATGGTGTGTCGCTCTTAGCTGAATTGCAAAGGGTTGTACACTCTCTGCAAATTCTGTCAGCAGTTCCGTTCGCAAGGAGGGTTAAGAATCGTTAGTTCAATTGTGCCGATGGCGAAGGTTGCCTCGGAAATGGAGGGGGGGGGAGCGCGGCTTGTGAGAAGAGGCGCTGCGTGTGATTTGCGCAAAGTTGCGCCAGCGGTAAGGGGTGGGTTGGCGAAGAAGCTCACAGATGAAGGATTAAGACATCTGCCTATGGAGTGCCAAGATGGAGAAATACCTTTTTGTGTGGAGGAAATCAGTGGCCCGGGATTAAAATGTTGCGGTGATTCGATGTCGCAATGAATAAATGTCGGGATATTTGATTCTGGTCAAAATCGGATTCATACATCAGTTATTAGGCTAAAATGTTGCTTCCTAGGGTCAGCGTTCCCCGTAAGGGGGGACGGTCACCCTGTATTACGTATTACCCTGTATTATTACACAATATTACGAAACTTAAAATAAAATTGTTGCATGCTGTAACAATAACAGAGCAAAATTATTACCCAATGCTTGAAGGAAGTCATATGGAAGCTGTGGTCAAAAAAAGATCACAGAGAATTCCATTTACTATTATGATACACAAAAGAAGGCTCACGAAGGATTACAAAGTTACACGGAGTCACTAAACGAAATAAGGAATTGGACATAGAAACAGGTTAAACGAAATCACCGCAAGCAAAAAATCACAGAAGGACTAAGAAGTAAATGTGCGAAAGATTTCAAGAAGGAATAACTGCTAGTTACTTTTACTAACCAACAGTAGTAGAAAAAAAAATCAACGACGCACGCCCGCATTTGTGCTAAAATTGGATGGGATCAAAACCGATATTTGCAAGTCACTGACTCTCAAAGAGCACGAGTGGTCAAGTTGGCAGCGGCAGCGCAGGCGGGTGGCTAAGGACCGGGCGGGCTTCAGTCAACCGTTTGCGCTCGCGCAAGTTCAAAACTTTGGACAGACCTCACTCTTGACTCGTTCAAGGGCATCGTACAACCCCTCTGGATTAGCTCATCTCATGTCTATTTGACATTATTATTTATGCCCGATCGATCGATGTTGTGCTGACTTGGTGTCAAGCGGCGGACATGGATAGGTCGGTCGGCGTGGTGATGGGGCGAGCCTTAGGTCTTCATGCGAGCGCGCTTTGATGCGCAAGACGGGAATCGAACTGGCAAGAAATTTTAGCCATTAATAAAAAAAAGTCGATTTTGCATAGATCTGGGTATGCTTGTACATATTCGCGGAGAGCCATACTTTCTGAACGCACCAAGCTTTCTTGGCATTTTCGAATCCCTTTTGTATTAACAGAAAAAAGCCTTAAAGTAGTAGCGCAGCCACTACCGACCACTACTCACGTGAAAGCTTATATCTTTTTTCAATGCGCGCTCAAAGAAGTTATAAGGATAAAGGATAAAGCATTTGCCGTTGATCAATCCCTTTTGGGATGCGGCACGCATTCTACTTCCATTTGTACATTCGTAGTGGCGTTTGAATGCGATGTGGCCTATACAATGACTTGCGGGGCCAGCCGATGTACAAGTCAGTGTTTTTATCCTCCCAGACAAGTCTGGTACCAATTAACCGACCCCGGAGGGATGGAAGGCTTGGTTGGCCCGGGCGACTCACGACCCAGGATTTGATCCCCGGACCGCTCGCGTGGTAAGCGTGCCACTTGCCACTACACCACTTCCGCCCAAGAAATAAGTTATGTCCTTCAAAATCTCGTCACGTTATTCCGTTTTTGTGCACATGCAAGATACTTTCCTTCATAATCAACTTTTTGCAGATCCCTAAGGCAAGCGAATCAGGGATTTCGAAAAAGTACCGGCAGCGTGTATAATTTCTCTATGGCTCAGAGAACGACACATGGTCTAACTGGGAGGAACTGAAGGTCTACTGCAGTTTGACCATCACCTGATGCCGGGTTGCCTTCAAGAAGCTCTTGCATGCGTTCAATATCTACGGTCATTGGTGTCCAAAACGTGGTTGGTCTTCAGGGCCGTAGTCGCCTTGACAAAGCTTCCGAACCACTTTCAACAGATGTTCCCTTTTAGCGAGTCTGGTCCTCCAGATTCACAAATATTCCGACAGGCTCCTCCTGCTGAGGGCCCCAAACGGAACTCGTAAAATAGACAGTGACGAACATGTGTTGAAATGGACGGCATTATTTCTCCCAAAAGACGAGTACTGACGGTCGAATTTCGTAATATGAAAGGTACACTAAGGTCGCCACATAGTCCTTAGCGGGAACAACACAAATATTTTTGAGAAAGATGGCGCGGGTACGAAGAAATCGGCATCAACTTATGATTCAATCACATAGTACTGCATTGATGTTAACAATGTATTAGGACTGAATGCGCTCGGATAGCTGAGAGGTTCGGAGTGTAGGCTCATTTCTATACTTCTGAAGCCGCTGGTTCGATCCCAGTCGAGGCTTAACCACGCCCTGCAAATCAGCGCGCCATCTGAGGAGGAAGCGCCTGCTGTTGAGTCTCTGGGCAATTCCCAAATTTTTCCTTTGATCTATACGCAAATGCCCATTATCACTTTTGCAGACTTTACAGTGATAACGGCTGTGGTGGTCTAACGGTAACAGTCTTCTTGGTGAGCACGAGGTCCAGGTTCGCTGATGAATCGATGAGATTTGTTTTGTTCATTACTCTGCATGTTTGCGATATCATTTCCTATGTTCTTTTCTCGATGAAATGGTTGTAGTGAAAGATATGGCCAATGGGTTGCGATGTGTTTCATTTTTTCAAGTACTTGCAAGTCGACCAGTGGCTAAAAACTCACTCTCTTTCAAGGTACGTCAGCGTTTGCTTAGTCAGAGCTTGAAAAG